CAGCAAGCCTCCAGGGCTGTGGACCTCCCTGTAGTGAACACCTATGCAGAGGATGGAGACAGTCTTTGCTGGGGATGAGGGCAGGAGCGGGGCTTAGGGAAGGTCCCCCTCCCTTCACTGTAACTGTCCCAACTTTCCCAGGGCTGGATCGACACAGAGGCAGCAGCCATGTGGGAGGCTGCCCAGCAAGTGAACGCACGCTTCCCCTGCAGTCAGGGCCTGGAGGACATGGAAACCAAGGCCCCTCTCAGGCCCGGGGGGCAGGAAGTGGAGACTTCTGGGAAGGTGATTGGGCCGGGCCCCTGCCAATTCATACAGGGGTGGGGACAATGGGCAAGTGGCCAAAAAAGGGGAGCTATTTTTGTGGGCAGGTCCAGCGCCCTCTGGGAATCACTCCTTCCCCACCGAGATGTCCCCTGTCCTGTTTGGGGTGCCTGGGGATCTCTGGGACTCCACGATGTTCTAAGCAGGCCCGAGTGAGTCTGGACCGCACCTGAGAGTGTCTGTGGGATGGTGGGACCCTAACTTTGTACATCCATGGCCGGCAGCAGGGGCCTTGCGGTGCTGTGGGAAACGTGCAGCATGTGTAAGTGTGTACAGCCGGACAGAATGTGTGTGTACAGTGAAGTGTAACTTGTGCCTGTGTGTGACCATGTGCCCTACACATGTTCTCTGTCACTGTGACACCGCAGGGCACAGAACCGAGTGTCTCAACAGGTCTGTTCTAAGCTGCCTGTGACAAAGGGTGGCTGGTGTGTACGTCTCTGCGTGATCGGAGGCTGGACTTACCTGGCGGGGGGTGCTGCGAGCTGTGTATGTGCTCACAGTGAATGATTAGGATGTCACCCAGAATACTTGTGGCTATTAAAAGAAGGCCAGCTGTCAGCCCAAGTGCCTATGGAACGGAATGTCGATGGTGATTAGAGAAGGCCATATTCTGGAACGCTGGAAATGCCATGTGCACAGGCCCCGAGGCTACCCTTCCCCCTCCCCTCTCAGCAGACAGCTCCCCACCCAACCCCTCCATTCACACCCGTACAACAACCCCCAGCTCCTGGGCTCTCTTGGGCTTCCCCACGAGCCCAAGACCATGTCCTGCCTTACTTCCCCAAGGCTGTTCCCTCGGCATCCCAGACAGGGGGGGACCTGGGCTTCTCCCTCCAACTGTGGAGCCCCTGCCTCTCCTGGGGAACACCGGCTCCGGCCTCAGGAAGGACTCACTCCCCAGTCCTGAGCCTGGGCACTGTGCACGGCCACAGAGGCCAGGACAGAGATGGGAAGTGCCCCTCGGACTTGGGGGCGGTGCGTGATGAAAGACAGTGTGCTGTCCTGGAGGGCACAGGGTGGAGAGGGACAGCACATCAGCAGTCACCTAACACGTGTGATAAGCACTGCCATGACACAGGGTGCTGAAAGAAGAGGCAAGTCCCCGAGAGCTCTCCAGGGAAGGTGGAGGTGAAGCAAGGATTGCCAGGCAGGGAGGGGGTCATGCTGAGTCGTCCAGGCAGAGGGGATGCCCTGTGTGAATGCAGCAGGGGAGGTCTGGGGGGTGGAGCTTGGGGTGTCTGGGAACACAATGTTGCTCTGTGACCAGGGAACAGCCAAAGGGACTCTGGGAACTGGTGGTGGGGACAGAAGAGAAGAAAAGAAGGGCAGGAGGTGGTCAGAACTGTGGGAGGCCCAATCAGGTGTCTAGCCCTGAGCCTGGGGAACAGGGAGCCCTCAGAGGGAGAACTGAGCTGGGGCCCTGTGGTGGCTCGGTCAGCCTCGCGGGGTGGTAGGGCTTCTCTGCAGTGGCTGGGGAAGCAGAGGTTGAAAGGGATGAGGTGGCAGGGAAAAGCCCAGAGGAAGCTGATGCTGTAGGATGGGCAAGAAATGGGGCATTGAAGGCAGCAGAGAGAGAGGGAATGCTGGGGCCCCAGGAGGAGTGGAGGAATTGGGGGCGAGGGGAGCTGAGTCCTGCCCAACTGCAGGAGTCAGAGAGCTTGGGAGACATCCCAGGGGGACGTCCTATCAGTGGCCTTAGGCATGGCCCTCCATCCTCCAGGCCATATGGCCTGTGGTCTCAGGGAAGGACCATCCCCCAGTCAGGACACCACCTAGCCCCTCTAGGCAAACTCCCTTCACCACTCTTCACCGATCGGTGACCCTATACGTGGTGGCTCATTGGGAGACTGCTCCCAGGGGGACGCTCTGTGGGCTAAACAGATGTGTGCTGTTTGCTTTCAGACCAAGGGGCTGCTCCCCAGCCCGAACCCCAGGATGTAGGGCGCCCATTGGCTCCCCTTTTCTTCTGGGACACATCCAGCCCCTTCACCTCCCCCTCATACACACAGACCCAGGATTACCCCCAGGAGCCTGCAGGCTTTGAAGTGGCCCTGTCACCTGTGCCGTGCTGGATTCACTGCCCCAGCACCACCAAACTCCTGCCCTGCCAAGTGCTCTCATCTCAACAGCCTGTACCCCGGGCTCAGCCTGAAGTGCAGGAGCCCAGGCCCTCCTGCTTCCCGCAGTCGTCCGCCTCTCCTCAAATGCTGTGTGCTGTGATTGTCCAGGCAATGACAATGGCGACAGCTCCGTGGGACACGCTGGCTAACTGTGAGCTGCCTCGGCATCCAGGCTGGGCCTTTCACTGACACGGGCAGGCCAGCTCGGCATCCCTGCAGCCCGCCTTGGAAGCCAAGCACAGACCTTCCTGCACAGGAAGCCATCATTTGCCTGTTCTGCCACGCGCCTGCTTCCTGAGTGCTCTGTCTGCCATGGCCCACACTCTCCTATAGGGACATGTCTGCATGCACCATGCACAGGCGTGTGCACTCTGTACCTGTGGTTTGTCTAAGTCCATCCCGGGGCCCTATGGCTCTGACAGTGTATAGGAAAATAAAAAGCAGAGAAGTTCTCCTCAGATAAGCATGGTCTTTACCTATGAGTGTGGTGATGGAGGAGAGACCCAGGGCCTGACCTCTGATGCCCACAGTGGCCTCTCTTTCTCCCCTCCCTCTGTCCCCCACCTGGCCTCTCTCACTCCTGAAGCCTCCATCTCAAACTTCGAAGGGCAGGGTGGAGGAGGGACAGACACTGGGCTTGCCCCTGTCCCCACTCCCCAATAGGCTGCTGTTATCAGGAAACACTTCATGCCCATCCTCTGGGGGGCCAGCTGCTTTCTGGCTGGCTTCTGGTCTCCAAGGGGAGGCAGATGGAAGGAGGCTGGCCTTTCCCTTTAAGAGCATCCTACACCCGCCTCCCCCATCCTAGAGGCAGCATCAGGCAGTGTGGGTGCCAGAGTCCAGAGAGAGAGCCTGCAGCTCCAGGTACTGCCTAGCCCGGGGCTTCCCCTCCCTCTGCGGGATCTGCTCCTCTCTCTCCCCACATTGACCATATTTGCTGTTGGGCCCTCTCCAGCTTGGCAGGACAGACCCCTCCCAGGAAAGTGGGTAAAACCGGAGGTTGGGAGGGATGGGATGGGGTATAGGGGTGGGGCAGGGGCTAGTATAGAGGAGGATGGGGTGCTGGCCATGAGTGGTCAGCTTTCTGGGCCAGGCCCAGGCAGCGGGGACAGACTGGGCTATGTGATACACAGGAGAAGAGGCGGTAGAGTGGGTGAAAGTATACAGGTCCCTCCTTGACTTCTTTCTCTGGATTTCTATGTGAACTTAGACAAGTTACCAAACGCTCCTGTGATGGGGGGTTCCTACCGTGCATGCTGCACGGGCCAGGCCCACGGTATTAGGTGGCGGTCCTGGCAGCTGGGAAATTACTCACACCCAGGCCTGCACTGAGTCCTCAGGGCCCAGCTTAGGCTAGAGCCTTCCTAGAGGGCCAAAGAGCAGCTTCCGTGAGCCTCAGTTTCCCCAGCCAGAGTCAGGATGGCCTTGAAGTAACTCCAGGCCACATAGGGCCTGCGGTCTCTTCTGAGGAAGGACTTCTGGAGGTATCTTGGCCCTAAGACCACACTGGCTGGAGTCCTGAGGGGCCTAGGCTCCCAGGCCCCCACCCAGAACACCCTGTCTCTGTGTTACAAGCTGAACAAACCGCACGCACAACCCCGTCCTTCTGCCTTCTGGCCCCATATCCCAGCAGCTGAGCAAATGGCATCTCCTCCCCTCCTCCCTGCCCCCTGCCATTCCAGTGCAAAGGGCACGGGGATCTGGCATGCAACATTGGCAGCTGGAGCTTTCCATGCTGCTGTCAAGTTTTCCAAGGGCACAAATGAGCCAGGAGAGCCAGGAATAACCTCCAGGCCCCTAGAGGGTCTGGAGGGTGTGGGCCTGCCTCAGACCTCCTCTCGGACACTAGGCCAGGACCCTTCACCCCTCACTCCCATGCCTGGTCTGGGCATTGCGAGGTGTCTGCAGCCACTGGGAACCCATTATCTGGCACGAGTCTAATGGGAATGAGCACCATTGAGGTGCTCCAGCGTAGCCTGGGTTCATTCCTGTGGGACCTTGGAGAAGTCACTTAACCTCTCTGAGCCCTGGTTGCTGCAGGCTGAGGTGGCAGCCTCTCAGGATCTGATGGGATAATGGCTTGAGGGACCCGATGCTGAGCTCGGGCATGCCCAGAGCTCCTGTTGTTATTAGGATGATTTTTACAACTGGACAACCCTGGGCCAATTGCTAGTCTCCTGAGCAGAAGCTCTGTCCAGACCAGCCGGAGGCTCAGCTCCATCCCAGGCTTCCTTCTGGGTAAGCTACAATATCAGGTCCTCACCGGGGAGCCCAGAGCAAGAAGACAGCAAATTGCAAAGCCCCTGCCCAGAGGAGCTCAGCCACAGTCTTCTGGGTGAAGGGGTGTGGGCTGAGCTGGGCAGAGAGAACACACATCTGGGCCCGAAAGGGCAGAGGGAGCAAGGAGAGGAGAGCAAGGAGGAGAGAGCATTATCGCTAATCTGGCCAGTCCCCCATCCTGTGCCCTGGGGGGTGCTGGGTGCTGGACAGCCCTCCCCGGGGGCAATATTAGCCGTGTGAGTCACAGTGGGAGGCTGCGGGCGGGCAGAGTGTAGGGTTACAGTCCATTTATGGGAGCAGCCGAGGGCAGATATCAGTGTCGATGGCATTCGTTCCCAGCTATTCTTAGGAGCCTCTCAGGAGCTCCACCAGCCTGGCCAGACAGCAAGGGACAGAGCAGGCAAGGCTGGGGGTCGGGGGTTGGGGTCCAGGTATAGGCCAGGGAGGTGGGTGCGTGAGGGCCCTCTCACCCCTCTCTTCTCTTGTTCACAGAGACTGCCGCTGTCAGCACCAGCATGTCTTACAGCGTGACCCTGACCGGGCCCGGGCCCTGGGGCTTTCGTCTCCAGGGAGGCAAGGACTTCAACATGCCTCTCACTATCTCCCGGGTGAGTGTGTGCTGCCCACACAGCCTGGTGCCCGCAGGGGCAGGACGCGCCCACAGGCAGGTGTGTGCATCCCTCCATCCCTGCGCTGTCCTGTCTGAGGCTCTTGGAAAGCAGAGCATGCCCCGTCCCCAGTCTGGGGACTGGGACTGGCTCCAACTGGATGCTGCCAGCCACAGACCCCTGGTTTCAGCCACAGCTGTTGTCCGCCTGAGTTCACTGACCTGTCGTGAGTGTGAAACATGGGCAAGTAGTGAGTGTCTTGAGCCAAGAAGGAAATGCCAAGTTTGCTGGGTAGGCAGGCTGGTGGACTGAGTATAGTTAATGCCTTCTTAAGCCCTTCTCCGGGGAGGGGGAACCCAGGGTGCCCCTAAGCCTGGAGCATCTCCATGGAAGTGGGCTGCTGCTTTGGGAAGAGGGCACTCCTAGCATGGAGAGTGCAGGTGACAGGCCGGCAGCTGGATAGATGGACAGACCGAGGACTTCAGCAGTCCTGCTGTTGGGGCTCAAGGCTGGGCTGGGCTGATGACTGGGCTCCAATATCCACTCCATCCCAGGTGCAAGGTAACAGCCTCGCCTCCATACCCCCTCCCCTTTCCTGGGCCTGCTGGGGATCTCCTGACAGCTTCCTCCCTCCCCTCGAAGGGACCCAACCCATTCGGCCATGGCCACAGCTGCTCTGACTGTCTGACATCTTCTTCCCCATGCTCACCTGGGGAAATGGCCCATATGTTCTGCAGGGTCTGTGATCAGGGAACAGCCTGCTGGCGATGTCCCAGATCCCTGGAGATTGTCTGAGTAACTCTATTGCCCAGCCAGACACACTCAAGTCCAGAGAGGCGATAAGCTAGATGCACTTGAGAGGAAGCTTTGTCTTAACCACCACTGGGTCCCCCCCCCCCCACCCCTCCCTATGTCTAGAACATGGTAGGCACTCAGGTAACACTTGTCAAGGGACTCCCCAGCAAGTCTGGCAGAGCTAGGGTGAAGACCTCAGGGCTCAGGGCGGACTGTGAGGTGTGGGAGGAGCAAGATAAGCCGAGCCTGGTTTAGGGGGTCAGGCTGAGGCTGAGCTCCCCACACCGCTGGTGTGGGCACGAGGGGGCAGCCTGGGGCTCCAGGCAGTCACTGGTTGGGGGTTTGGGGGGATGGATGGCCCAGGGAGTCTGGACCCTGCCCACCTGGGGACAGGGAGGCAGTTTCTTCCTCAGGGCCGAAGAGATTTGCCATGGGCCTGGGGGGTAGGGGGCAGGAACATGGGGGTGGGCAAGGGGGCCCTCAGGTGGGTACAGGGAAGGCCTAGAGGTGCTTGGCAGAGAGGACAGGGAGCCAATGCCCCCATGGAGGGGCAGTTCCGGTTGTGGAACCTGAAGTGGGCCCTTGGGGGAAACCTGAGAAGGAGAAGCCCCCCTCAGGAGTGCCAGAGGAGCCTCATAACAGCTGTAGAGGACATGACCCCCGGGGGGGCAGGCACTGGCCTGGCTCGAGTCCAGGGAGAGGACCACGTTGATCTCACTGAAGGTCTGGCTCATCTAACCTGAGTCTCCATCCCTCCAGACCCACTGTCCCAGAGGCCCCGGTGCGTAATGCTAGGAGGACACCCAGAGCCTTGCACGCCCTGCCTGATGACATGCTGCCATGTGGGATCAAATGCGTGGATGTGGCCCCCTCCCTCCAGGACCCTGCACAGTTCCCCACCTGCATGGTCGCAGGGCTATCCACCTTTACCGTCATGGGTCCACAGGCCTCCCATGCCTGGGACTGAGCCCACATCTCCCCCCGTCCTTACAGTCCTCAAGGCCTCATGCTGGTGGGTGGAAATTAGCCTCCTGGCTCAGGGGCACCCAGGATAGCCAATGACCTCACCCCAGATCTATGTACCACCTGGCCTTGGCCAGCCCAGGGCTTATATTGCAGCACAGAGGCCTTAAGCTAGACAGCAGGAAGAATGTCCCCACCGCATGGAAAGGTTATATTGGGAGGTAATGGAACCAATGACTACGGGGACCTTTATAAATAGAACCCCCAACTCCAGCAGGGTATCGGGGGCCAGGGATAATGGCCTCTCGGCTTCCTTCAGAGGCGTGCCCCAAATCATCAAGGCAATGGAACGAGCTGAGCTGGGCGCTCGGTCCTCCCCAGGGTTCAGAACCTCTCCACAAACTCCTCTGCGGGGCCACTGATGCCCTGGGCTGCGGCATCCCCAGCTCAGGCCCAGGACACTCCCACGGGGGCTGTGGTGTTTCCTGCTGGGGCTCTCAAGGCCCTTCTGCAGCAGGAACTTCTCCCTCCGTGGGATGCTTTGGCATCCTGGCCTGAGCCTTTGGAACGGGCCAGTGGCAGCAAAGGGTTGTGGGGTGGGGGGTGGGGGTAATGAAGGTAGGGCCTGCTCACTCTCAGCAGGGCCGACACCCCTGGGCACCTGAGAGAGGTGGGGGCGGCGGCTCTGGGATTACCATCTCACCTCAGTGTCAGCCAAGCTGAGGCTCAGATTTGCTCGGGAGCTCCGGTGACCTCAGTAACCCCTATCTCCCTGGCTTGCCCTCCACCCTTGGGCTGGGGATTAGCAGAAGAGGACTGAATGGAGCCTGTCCCTTGTCAGCTGGAGATGCAGCTGCCGTTCCTCCTGTAAGAAGGCTGCCCCCCCTCAGGCAGTGGTAGCTCCAGTCTCCACCCTACTCTGCCCCTGCCCCGCCCACCTGCCAGAATCAACCCTGGGCAGATAACAGCCACCCACGGCCTCCTTTCAGTGGGTCTCCTCCAGGACCCACAGAGAAGTGGGCTCAGGAGGGAAAGTGGGAGGGTGGAGGGGAAATGCCTTTATTTATCCGGGACAGGTGTGGCTGGGCCTGCAACATGAGCTCCCCTCCCACCGCCCCCCTCCCAGCCCTAGCCAATTCTCCAGGAAGTGGGGGAGGGATGGGAGCAGCCACGGCTCCAAAGGCTGGGCCTGCCCCTGTCCAAGCTAGGTCAAGAGGCTGGGGCCATGGTCTGGGGCCTTGTCCTTGGTGCATGTTGCAGCCCTTGACTTTATGGAAGAAGTGTGTGCTTTTGTCTGGCTCTGTTGCTCCCAGTTGTGTTGCCTTTGGAGCCAAGTTGTCGGTTCTCCTGCTCAGCCTGGTTGTCTCATCTGTGAAATGGGAGTGTGCATGGCTGAGTGCTTTCTAACAAGCACTGGGAAAGTGCTGTGGACCTGTTGTTCTGCTGAGGTGGTGGTGAGGATGGGGGAGCGGTGGAGCCCGAGCCCGGCCCCCAGGGTGGGGTGGGGTGGGGTGGGCATGCCGGATGCCTCTCTCTCTGCTCCAAGGCCTCTGTCCCTTAAGGCCTTATTCGTCTGGCCTTGTAGGCTCTCCTGGGGCACCAGCCCAGAAGCTTTTGCTTCTTTGCTTTTTTTTTTTTTGTTCCAGTATTTGTCAGATCTCCTAGTTACGGTGGGGACGCAGAGGACAGAGGGTCCCCTGGGAGGGGGAGGGGGACAGGCCGAGACTATTCTGGGTTAACTGTGCTGGCCATTCCTGGAATTTTGAGGCCTTAGTGCTGTTTCTTAGGCAGCGCCTAGCAGTGCTGACAGGCTGAGCTGTTTATAGCCACACTGAAGGTCAGGCAAGCCTCCGGAGGACTGCTGTGGGGCTGGCCGGGGCCTTCCCAGATGAGCGAATGGGGAAGATAACCGGACAGAGGCCCCCAGCTGGGAAATGCATTCTTGGAGGTTCCCAGGCCAGGCATTAGCCCTGCCTGCTTCCCTCCCAGGTGCTCAGAGCTGTCCCTGACTCCATTGTTTACATCTGGGTTGACTCTCAGTGTTGTTCAATCTGTGGGTTTGGGCCAACATAGAATAACTTAGATCCACAATATCACATCATAGAAAATATTTTCACTGCCCTAAAAATCCTCTGGGCAAGGAGAGGCTCTTTGTGTATAGCCAAGACTCTGGCTTGTTTATTAGCCAGGGTGGAACTGGGGAGTGGGGCCATGGGGAGACAGAAGTTTCCAGTGAAAGGATGAGGGATGGAGCAATGCCCCAGGGGAGGCCAGATGGGCAGGGAGCAGAGCATGGAGTGATGGTAATTTAATCACATCATGTTAAATGCACTTAGGGTTCCATGGGAAGTCTGCTGGGGTGGTCAGTCTAGGCGGTTTGGGAGGAGATGCTGGAAGTTGCATGGTTCACTGCATCTACCACCTACCCTTGCCCCCCAAGCCCCTGCTACACCTACGCTGGCAGCTCTAGAAAGGAAGGAAGGCAAGGGACCTGTCTGGTTTGGAGCACCGAGAGTGAGGGCTGGGAGCCTTTGCAGAGCCCAATCACCCCCCCTGCCACCAGGGAGCTGGGGAAATAGGATCCTATGTGCACCTGAGCCCTGACCAGTGCCTTCCTTCCATGGGACCCTGGTCAGGACTTCTGTCTCTTCCAGCTGATGCTCAGGCCCCTCTAGGGACCGATGCTGGCTTAGGACCGGTCAGTTGAGGCTGGCCCCCCACACCCCGCTTCCTTCCAGCCCCAGATCTTGTTTCCCAGTGGAGCCAGGGTACAGCTGCCCAGTCTCCTCCCCTGTGGAGCCCTCCGGGGGCAGGGCTGGAGGCCAGCCCCTGTCTCTCCTCCACTGGGAACTTCCCTGAGGCTTTCTCAGCTCTGCACCTCCTTATGGGATAACCTATTTAAACATGTAATCCTCCCAGCGATCGTGTGCGAAAGGCATTGCTGCTAACTTTACCCAGAGAGTGTAGAGGCTGCCCTGTACCCTCAGGTCTGGCTTGGACCAAGTCTGTGCTCTTTGCTTTATTGTCTCCCTACAAGTCACCCAACAGTCACAGAGGCCATGGCTGCTCCCTGGCACCTGCTGGCCTGGTGTCCCTTCTCACGGACCCAAAACCACAGCCCAACAAGGAGGAAGGGCTCTCGTGAGCCTGGTGGCAGTTTTGGCCCCCAGGGACCTCAGGAGCTTTTGAGACCAGACCATGCTCCTGGAGCTCTGCCCACACCTGGGCTCTGAGTTGAGAGGTGGCTGGTGGTCGGAGAAGAATGAAAAGTGAAGTGGGAATGAACTGTTGTTATGAAGAGGTTTTCAGATGCTCAAAAGAGGATATAAAGACTTCAAAGAAAAAAATCCTCCAAGGATTTAGTGGTTTTGGGTCCTCTGTGGGACAAGGAACACAGAGAGAAGCAGAGAGTCAGGCAAGAGACACATGGGTATACCACACCTGCACTGCACTCTTCCCGAGTCCTGGGCTTTGGGCAGGGGTCCCCAGGTGGCCTCACCCTCCTGCAGGGCAGGCTGCTTCTGAGAAGAGGGTGGGGATCTGATGGCCCTTGGACCGAGCAGTGGGCAACCTCCTTAGGGTCCCTGGCTCCTCTTAGGAGACTTGGACAGAGCCAAAGAGCACCCTTCCAGAAGAGAATTACAGTACCCTCCACCCACCTCCACCCACCCCCAGTCTCAGAGGTCATGGGCACTGCTCAGGGCAGCTAAAAGCCAGGCCAGCTGAGCCCTGATGAGCAGACACAGGTGTGGGGAGAGAGGCGCCAGGCCTGGCAGGAGCTAGCTTGGCACTCTCCTGGGGGAGCTCGGTTGCTAACCAGGCCCTGGGGAGGCTGGGCATTTCCCAGGGAACCAGGATCACCCAATCTATACTGAGAATGAGGTGGAGCCAGGCAAGGGGAAGGCAGGAGACCCCATGGAAAGATACGGTGTTAGCCCGCGATTAAGGGAGACAGATGTCCCCAGGGCAGCTCCAAAGAGAGGGCATTCCCAATAGTCCTACACCTTGCCCTAGCTGATCTGGCCCCAGCAGCTCTTGGATGTCATTCTGGCGTCCTTGCTCACACTGACATCCATGATCTTCTGGACACAGCTCCAGTCCTGGCTGGCAGGCTTCACCTCTGCAGGCAGAAGGCCTGCCCTTCTATCTGGGGTCTGTGGTTGCCATACTTGGGAGCTCATTATGCTGTCTGTAGATGGTGAGAAGCATCTGGGAGAGTCCTGGTATGGGGAAGCCCTGGCGTGGGGTGTTCTACTGTATGGGACCCCTTGTGTGGGAGTGTCCTACTGTGGGGGAGCCCTGTGGGTGGCTCACGAGGACCGCAGAGGCATTGCACAATTCACCCTGAATGGAAGCATATTGGTATCTGCTATTTTCTCTGAAAAGCTTCCAAACTAAGATGGATTACCATACGGAGAGGCTAGACATGTGACACAGAAAGCTGAACCGTGTGAAGGTAGAAGCTCAGTGGTGGGTGTGGGGATGCTCCCTGTAGAATTCTGTCTGCTTTCTCTATTTGAAGATATATATCAGAAAATGCTGGGAGTAGCATAGGCCTGAACGTGAAACCAGGAGGAGTAGGGAAAGCCGGTTTTCTGCAGACAGGCCCAGCTCACAGCTCAGCTTGCCCTCAGAAGTCCCCTCTTGGCCCAGAAAGTGCTTTGTTTTTCTCTGGGTTTTTTGTCTTGTTGTTGTTGTTGTTGTTGTTTTACCCTTTGTTCAACTCTTAAAATAAAAGGAAACAACACTCCTGTCATTAGTAGAGGCTCCCTGAGGCCAAGAATTTGGGGATAAGGGATGTGCATTTTGAGAAGGCCCAAGTAATTATTTTTTTTAAAAGATTTTATTTATTTATTAGAGAGAGAGTATGTGTGCTCATGAGCAGGAGGAGGGGAAGAAGGAGAGTGGGGAGCCCAACATGGGGTTCGATCCCAGAACCCTAAGATCATGACCTGAGCCGAAGGCAGATGCTCAACCCACTGAGCCACCCAGGCGCCCCAGCCCAAGTATTTCTAAGATACCCCTGTTGGAGCCAGGAAAGTGGGCTGGACTTTGGTTTCCTGGCAATCTATCGGGTGGTTTCTCTACTGTCCCTGCCAGGTCTCTCTGGATTCATGGGTGAGTGGAGGCTACTCGGTGTTGGCAAAGCTAGCGCAGTCCCCAGGGCTAACAGGGCACTTCCTCCTTGAGGACTCCTCTGCTCTTGCTGCTGTCCCTGGGTTTGCACAGGCAGTTTTCGGCCTGGCCTGTAGAGCCCACCAGGGACTAGAGCCTGGTGACCACAGGTGGCCCTGGTTTGGTGGAAGATTCCTCATGAAGGGTGTGGTAGGAGGCTTCCGTCCATGTCTGGGAGCCCAGGGCCTGGCAACCAGGATAGGAGACTTTCCCTAGGTCCTCTTTGGACTCCTTCTAGGATGGTCCCCCAGGCCAGGGCCAGAAAACGGCTTCTGCCAGCATTAGAAGCCAGCCTTGTCCCTGGGTTGTAGACAGGAAGGTGACTGAGATGTGCCCAGAGAAGCCAGGAAAGCTGGCTGGTGGGCATGTTGGGGAACAAAAGCCAAGGGACATCCTCTAGTTACAGCTTGGTGGGGGCTGGCTCCCAGAGCCTCCTCTTTCCTGTGATGTCACTGGGGCGAGCCCTGTACGTCATTCTACATGATGTCACAGGGGGCCTTCCACATGATGTCATGGGGGTCAAGTCATTCTTTGTGTTATCTGCAGGGGGTAGAGTATGGTATTTCGTGTTGTGACATGGGGGTGTAAAGCCAGTCTCGGTGACATTCCATGAGGCATCTTTGGAACTGGAGCTTCCTCACATTCCATGTGATGTCCCGAGGGGCCAGCCATCAAGTTATCATAAGTGATATCATCTAGGTCCTCCAGAATTTTGCGTTTCAAGTGACATCTTTGGGCTGGTGGGGGGCATGCTATTACGGAGGGCCAGGCCTGAGGAATTTGACGTTGTGCATGATGTCACTGAGAGTGGGTCTGAGCCATCCTGACATTGCATGTAATGTCCCTGGGAGTGTGGCCTTGACATGACAGGAGATATTCTTGACGTGTGGTGTCTATAGCATTCTGTGTGATCACCCTGGGGATAGGGGGCCCCAGACTCTAACATTCTGTGATGTCATTAGTATGCAGGATTTGGGATCTGGTCCCCACACCTGCATCTCCTCTTCTGGAAGTCTGAAGCCAGCCACATAGTGCTGAGCCTTGCCCCATGCCCCAGCGGACCTTGCTTCCACAGCTCTCTGCCTCCCTGCCATGATAGCCCTAGGCACTTGCCCTGGGGTGCTCCCCTGAGGGCTCATCTGTTCTGGCTACTAGCCTGGCAGAGTCTCTATGGTGGTGCTGAGTCTTAACTCGTGCATATACCCTCCCTCCTGGAGCCCAGAAAGTGCCCCATGGGTTTTGGGGGTGCAGCCATTATAGTAGGCTAATTGGTGTAACAGACAGCCCCGAAGTCTCAATGGCCTAGCATAGCAGAAGCTTACTTCTCCCTCGTGCAACATCAGATGCAGTACTTCTTAATCCTCTCTCCTCCAAGCAGTGAGTCGAGGATTCGGGTCCTTCCATTGGTGGCTCAGCTGTCCTCTTCTGGGTCCTCTGCATCTAGTCAGCTAAGAAGCAGAAAGAGTGCAGGATGGCAAGGATGGTGGCTAGGGGTAGGCCTGGAAGTGGCAGGTATTGCTTCCATCCACATTCCCCTAGCCAGGGCTGGGCTCTGGGTCACATTCAGATACAGAACGCTAGGCAGAGGGGTGATGGTGTGCCAGGAGGAGGCATCGGGCTTGGGGAGCTGCGGGTGCTGCTCATAGTGAATGAAAGAGGAAATGGCAGGCCTCTCCTGGATGATCCCAGGTGACTCTTCCTCAAGAACGGCCCAACCTCGGGTCCACCCTTTGTATGCTCACTGCCCCCCCACATCTGTCATTCTCTCAGATCACACCGGGGAGCAAGGCCGCCCAGTCCCAGCTCAGCCAGGGTGACCTCGTGGTGGCCATCGATGGAGTCAACACAGACACCATGACCCACCTGGAAGCTCAGAACAAGATCAAGTCTGCTAGCTACAACCTGAGTCTCACGCTGCAGAAGTAGGTGGGAGCTCTCCAGAGCAGGGGCTAGAGGGATGTGGGCATCAAGGGCCCAAGAGAAGGGGTCCGGCAGCAGTCATGTGGGCCCAGCCTGTGCCACAGGATCACACAGGAAAGTAAGGAGGGCCTCTGGACCAGGAGGAGGACAGGGCCGAGCCATCAAACACCTGACACGTCTGTGCCTCACTTTATGGATAAGCCTTGGGGGGTCGGGGAGGTCACAGAGCTGCCAGTCAGTGCGTGGGGAGTTGGGCTGAAAGCCAGGTCTTCCCTGCCTTCTCTTTGCCCCAGATAGCCTCCCAAGGACCTAACAGAGGCCCATGGGAGCAAAGTGTCCAAGGGCCATGACTTCCTCATCCTGGTCAGGCCCAGTGCCTTCCTGGAGTCACCCAGTCCATGGGGAGGACAGTGGACCTGAAGCTGTCACCCAATGACCCGGGTCTCTGATGTTCTCTATCTCCAGCCCTGCCCTGGCAGGACCTCCTGTTTTAGTGGCAATTGTCTTCACTTGGACCCCTTTCTGGTTTCTTCCAGGTCAAAACGCCCCATCCCCATCTCCACAACAGCACCCCCGGTCCAGTCCCCTCTGCCGGTGATCCCCCACCAGAAGGTAGGTGCTGACTCCACTCTCAGCGATGGTTCCTATGGGGTGGCCCCTGGTCTGCCTGCCTGGCCCTTGGTTGGCCCAAACCGGACAGAGTAGTAGGATTAGCCATCTCCTGTCCCAGCTATGGCTGAGCGTGAGGGAGTGGGGGCAGGCCCCCAAGAAGAGGTGTTCCAGCCCCCATGCAGTACCAAGTGTGGGGTGTCTGCCTGGGTGCTGGTCCTAGGACCTCATGGCTAGGCTGCTGGGAAACCAGCCTAGGCCATGGTGTTTTTAGGAGAGGGATCTTCCTCCCAGCTAGGTGGGGACAAGGAGCCTGAGGGTACTGGGAGGGGGTCACTGGGGCATGAAAGCCAGAGACCCTGGTTTGAGCAGCCAGCCCAGGCATGGAGGGAGGGGGCCTGCTGGTCCTCAGAGTTTATCCCTGACATAGGGTCTCTCCCTCCATTTTCCACTGCCCCTCCCGACTGCATGTCCCAACAGCCCCCTCAGAGGTACTGATTGTAGTCAGGCAGCAAGCCCAAGGCAGGCATATCTCATCACCTTGCCTGCCACCCCCTCAGTGCTCCCTTGAAGCAGCTCAACCCTGTGTGCCAAAAGGACTTGACCTGAAGCATGGAAGGCCCACCACACCCCTCCTGCAGGGCCCACTCCCTGCCTCCTGCATGACCTCATTCTGATATGAAGAGGCTGACAGGGGCTTGGGGTGGGTGACAGATGGGGGAAGGGAGCAGAGGGCTGCTTAGGAGAAGCTGCACAGGCAGACTGTGGGAACAAGTTGTCAGCCCCGCAGTGTCCCAGTTTTCCCTCTTGCATTTCTACTTTGCCTGACCACTGCCAGCTCAGGGTGGGGTCCTCTGGCTGGCCATGTGGAGGCATCTCAGTATGGGGTTGGTAGAGCAGGAGGCCAGGCTGTGCCAACTAGGGGCTTCCACTCAGGGCAATGGGAAGCAGAGAAAGGATGGAGGGGGCTCTCCCCAACTCCCTGAGGCCCATGTCCCCTTTCCCGCAGCCCTGCAGATGGGCTGGCTTGGCTTGGCTTTTTGTGTGGGGCTGGCACTTTGGTCAGGAGGATGTGGGCCTCAGGGCCAGGGATGGGCGCCTCCCTCCCTCTCCTCGACAAAACCTTTCTCTTGCAGGTGTCCGTTGTGTCCCCTCCCGAGCTCTGCGTGGTCGCAGCGGGGGGGGGGCAGGCTGCTGGGCGCTCACACTAACACCTGTGTTTCAGGTCCTTGCGGAAGCGCTGGGACCCGTATGGCCTCTAACCGCTCTCTTCTCTCTCCCCTGCATGGCGCTGCTCTGGGCCAGGACCCCGCTCGGGACACGAACGGCAGCCCAGCGGCACTCAGCCCCAACCCTGAGGCGAGGGCGAGTCTGGGCACCCCAGGCACCCCGGAGCTCAGGCACACCTTTAGCTCCTTCTCCCAGACCTCCGTCTTCTCCTCACACACGGAGGCCTCTGAGCCCGGCCCTCCGCGGGGCAGCCCAGGGGCCAAAACCAGCCTGGAGGGAGCCCTGGACTCACTCAGCCCGAAAGCCCTGCAGGGCTCAAGCCAGCCAAGGCAGTATAACAACCCCATTGGCCTGTACTCAGCAGAGACCCTGAGGGAGATGGCTCAGATGTATCAGATGAGCCTCCGAGGGAAGGCCTCAGGTGCTGGACTCCCAGGAGGGTAGGTAACAGGTGCGCCGCTCTCTGCTGGTGGTCTGGGGCCACCGGGGTCCTCAGTGCTCATGGAGGCTCGGCCAGGCAGTCAGAGCAAGGAGCTGGCTTCAGTCGGCCCACGCGGTGGCACAAGCCTGGAGCCATACAAGTAATGACCTGGCCGGTATTTTTGTCAGGAGCCAGACTCCTCATTATTTTCCACAAGCTGGGGTGACGTGTTGGATCCTGCAGAGGGGGAAACTGAGGCTCAGAGGTTTAGTCGAGGTCCAGCTGTCCCGCTGCTAAGTGGCTAAGTGAGGTCTGAATGCAAGAGATACTGACTCCCAAAACGTCCACACCAGCAACACCTTGCCACATCCACCCCCCCCAACAAGATGAAGCCTGCTGCCTCAAGGAACCCTGGGACAAAGGTCCCTGCCCTGGAGGAGCCCTGAGGCAGGAGCAGGGAAGAAATAGAAAGGTAGGAGGGTAAGTTCTCTGGGGGCTGGGAGTGATCTGGGAAGACTGCCTGTAGGTGGGAGCGACTGAGCTGGGTGCAGAAAGATTCAGGAATGGGGTGAGTGTCATGGGCTTGTAGAACTGAGCCTAGATAGAATGAGGCAAGGAAGAACCGAGGACAAAGAGGGTGTGTAGGAGAACGGTAGCCTGCCACCCCCACAACCCGCTGAGCACCAGCTGGTGGGACTCTGTGAGCACAGGAGCTAAGAGAACCTGCAACCAGGGTGCGCATCGTGGAGGGGCTGAGGGGAGGGAGCCCCCAAGCCGAGCACGTGCTAGCTTCTAAGCCCTTCCTGCTTGTATCTTATTCTAACTTCTCAGCTACAATCGGTATAATTATCTTCATGTGCTCTAGAGGTGGAGCAGGCTGAGTCAAGGCCATTATGGCCCAGTGGTTAGGGGTTCATCGCTCCTCCTCTGTACCTGGGTGTGAGACTGTCCATATCTCAGAATTGCTGGCAGGATGGAAAGAGGACACACGTTGCACAGCCCTGAACTCCGTGCCGGCACACTTGCCTTGTGCTACCTGAAGTCACACAGTAGATGCTCCCAGGAGTTAGAATCAGAACCTGGGTCAGTCGGGCCCCGCCCATGCCCTTCCTTTGCCCTTGCCACAGAAGGTACCTGTGCCCCACTAGTTCACTGTTCCCTTGCCGATCCCCAGCTTCCCCATATCCCTCAGCTCTTTCTGGGATCCTGGCTGAAGCTGGCCTTGAGCACTCCACAGCCTGAGCACCTGGACCCCAGCCTCCTCAGACCAAGGCGTTAGAACCATAAACCCTGGGCTTTTTCCAGCAAGGAGCTTCTTCCAAAAAACCTCAAGGAATGACAGAGCAGAAATGGCCTCCTTCCACCTTGGATGGGTTGGTAGCTCTTTCTGGTGCTCTCAGGAACTGGCCCCTGGCAGGGAAATCTGAGAGACAGGGACCTCCATGAAGCCCACCTACAGTGACAGTAATATGTCCCCTTGTGAGCCCTCAGTCTAGACTTGGGGCCAACTCACAGTCCATGTGCTTTATTTAACTTCAGCTCTCAGCAACTTCAGAGGTGAGCATCATTTCCCCCATTTCCTAGCTGGGAAGTAGAAGCTCAGAGTGAGTGATTTGCTCAAGGTCACACACAGCTAATAAGCACAGGGGCACACAGGGCTGGTACCTGGGTCAGCCTGACTCCTCCCTACATGGTGATAGGGACCTCACAACCTGGCTAGAAAAGTCAAGGGCCAGCCCCATCCCAGCTTCTCATGACTCCAGGGGTGCCTTCCCTCTGATGCAGGGCCTTCTCAGAAGCCAACAAGTGTTAACTTATTACTTGACACTCAGAGCAGCAGGGTCCAACAGCTTCTCTAAGGGTAGACAGGCTAGTGGAAGGAGTACATCTCTCCATTCATCCACAGTAAAGGCTATGCTGTGGTCCCCGGGCGATGCTGGAAGCAGGAGCCTCTGACCTGGGCTAGCCCAGGCAGCTTCTGATGGGCTGAGGCTACCAGCTTTGCTATGTGCCTATGTGCTGGAAGGTGACAGGGCTGGTAACTGCTAATCCCCACATCCCATCCATTGCACACGTAAGTCATGACAAGGGCTTTACGCTCAGGATTCTGTTTAGTGTGCACAACCTGTCTGCGCAGTGGCCGCCACCATCTCGATTTTGTGAATGAGGGACTGAGGCTGAGACTGGTGGGGAACTGCCCAGAGTCACAGCGCTAGGAAGATTCAGAGTAAGGATTTAAACTCTGTCCCACCTGGCTCCAAAAGGAAGTTCCTTCTCCTCCTCTCCAGGCAGCTTGCAATGTGAGTCTTCGGCAGCTTGAATCCTCTGGGGAGGACTGGCGAGAACAAACAGGGTGCGAGGTCCGCAGGCCAGAGCATGGCAGCAGTCCCTCTCCATCTGCCGCAAGCTGGCAGGGCAGGGCAGTACCCCTCAGGGCATTCGGTGCATGGGCCTCTGGATGGATCTTGACTGATTCTCCCCAAGACCTGGTGCTGGCTCCTCTCTGAGCTGTCTGCTGCGAGCCACTCAGCCTCCAAGTCTTCAGGTGGGAGCTAGGCATGGAGCAGGAGTCAATGCCAAAGACGGTGCCGGCTGCCGGGTGCTGGGACAGGGAAGAGCAGAGGCCGGCACTCTCCCTCCCCACCCCACTGCCCTCTGTAGGGGACATTGGGCTGGTCAGGGCAAGAGCTGACCCTGCAGCTGTCAGCACTGGCCAGAAATGGAGAAGGGATGGAAGATCTTTCCTAATATAGCTCCACTTGGAGCTATTTGAGCCTAGAGGACAGAGGGAATTTTATCAGCTCCAAGACTGTAAGGCGTGCAGCTAGAGGGCCCCCTAGCTTTGGTCTGGCCAAGGGATGACCAGGGTCAGGCTAGTTGGGGCCCAGGATCTCCCAGCCAGAGCCCCGAGTGGTCCAGTCTGCGACGGGGGCAGGGATGCCACCTGTGCTCTTTTCCCTCAGGTTTCTGACAAGGCCATTGGTGTTGCCCCGGTCTGCCCTGCAAGGGATTTGCATTTAAGGAAACCTAATGCAGGCAATGCCTCCCCCAAAGAGATGATGCTCCAGGAGGCTCGCTCTAGACAAAAGCGAGGGCAGGGTCCCTCTTGGGTCTGAGTTGGGTTGCCTTGGCTAGGCTCTTTCCTGCAATACCCCTTGGACCTTCTCCTGAGCCTCCGCCTTCCTCCATCCTGCTTCACTGACCATCCACAGGGCCTTTAGGGACAGTCACAGGGGACTGCACCCCTGTGCCCCAGAAGTAGTGGTCAGGGCTGCCTGCACCTGCTCTGGGAGGGAGAGTACATCTGGGAGACTGTGGGTAACCCGTCTGCACCCCCCAGCACCACTGCCAATTACACAAGGATAAGTCCAGAATGGCTGACTAGCTAGGAGGCTCCTATAGCCTGGGCTTGGCCCATAGCAGCCGCAGCTGGTCCCGTCTCCCTCTCCATCTTCCTGTCTTGGGGTCTCCAGCCAGGCAGTATGTGGTACCCATGAAGATGGGCTAGAAAACCCTTATTCCTGGCAAAGCTTCAGGGACTGTGGACCTACTGAGAGGGAAGCACCACTGTCAGCACCTTTGACCCAAACTCAGAGGCTGTGACTCTGACTTGGAGCCCTGCCCCTCTCCTCGGGACTCCTCCCCCAGCGCCTGTCAGAGCTGGAGCAGCCTCCATGAGGGCCAATCTGAGTATGGTCCCAGCGCTCAGAGCCCCTGGCAGGACCACACTCTGATAGCCCTGTCTTCTTTGCTCTTTCTCTCCTCCCCAGGTGGTAGCCAACTCTCCAGCCAAGTTAGTATCAAAGGAAAGCATGTGTGTGCGCTCGTGTGCACATCCCAGCATGCGTCCGAGTGTCTGTGGGTCTGGACAGCGTGCGCCTGCGTCGGCACGTGTACGTGCGTGTGCATGTGTGAGTGGGCGTGCATTCGTGTCCCGGAGCGAGCCTGCATGTGAGTGGAGCTGCAAGTATGGAGGAAAGGCACTGGGGAGGGGTGCCAGGGCTCTGTCAGATGTGCCCTTTCCCTTCGCCCTTTCCTGTGGTGGCTGCTTCAGACCAGCAGGCTGGCTCTGGGGGGCGGGGGGGGACCGTGGTGGAGTGTGTGCCGCGCTCCTGCTGGGTTCCACGTGAGCCTGAAGACATTTCTGGGACCGCTCCGAAGGGCTGCGCTTGACCTTCTGGGCCCGGGGAGTGCACTCATCTGTTGGAGGGGAGCGCCCTGATGGGCAGAGACTGGTGGCCGCACAGCCAGCTGGACTTGAGGGGGACTGAGCAGCCCGGGTCCTGCTCCGAGGAAGAAACACGTGCCCTGGATCATCTGGAGGAGCAGAGCCCTGGGCCACGGAGGGCATGGCCAGCAGGATGAGCCCCGTCGTGGAGGAACTTTGCTCAGAACCCCTATGCGTGCCCGGTGGGGCTGCTTTTTGCCTTTCGGTCATTCTGGACCCTGCTTGGGCTGCCGTTGCTTCTCACGTGTGGCCCAGCTCCTGTCCCCGACCCCCAACCCTCTTTGTCTCTGTTTCCTTGCTGGTGAGGTGAGAGAGCTTTCAATGCCTGGCAGCCCCTGCTGACCCTGAGATGTAGCTCAGGTGAGCAGAGGCTTCCCAGGTTCTGGCATTGCCAGAGTGGGCAAGAAACCTGCCACGAAGGGCTCTGGGGAGGGTGCTAGGGTTTTCTCTACCAGACCCCGCTGTCCATAGTTCAGGGGACTTGGGGGACCTATCTGGGATCAGGCCTTGGGAGGTCTCTCCACCACCAGCCCTCACCTTGACCCCCTGTGTAACACCACCTGTTGCCTTTTCTCCTTCCGCCTCCCTTCCTCTTCCTCCTCTGCTCTCCCTGCTGCCCACCCCCAGCGCCGACTACCAGGAACGGTTCAACCCCAGCGCCCTGAAGGACTCTGCCCTGTCCACCCACAAGCCCATTGAGGTGAAGGGGCTGGGCGGCAAGGCCACCATCATCCATGCGCAGTACAACACACCCATCAGCATGTACTCCCAGGACGCCATTATGGACGCCATTGCTGGGCAGGCCCAGGCCCAGGGCAGTGACTTCAGTGGGTAAGCGCCTCCCCTCCTCCGCCATTGCTCATCGGTCATCGCCTCCACCACTGGCTGGGCCTCCTCACCAGTGGAGGCCAACAGCACCAGGCTGCTTGGTGCCATCAGAGACTTTGGGCATCGAGACCAGCTTTCCTCCCTCACCTTGAGCCTCTAGGGCCATGGCTGTTGGAGGGGAACTTTTGCCAGGCCTTCCAGAACACCATATTCTCTCTTCAGAATCAGTCTCAGCTTTAGGAGAAGGGTGGAGAATCGACGAATATGGTGCTTGCTCCAAGTGCTTCTCACAGCTTCTGCATTTTCCCCCCGGGCTCCGCAAGGGGGTCAGTTTAGAAAGAAACATCCGGAATCCTGGGTCACATCTGGATAAACCAGTCTTCTCATAGACTAAGCCATTCTTTGGGGGAAGTTGTTGCTTTCTTTCAATGATGAGAGCAATTCAAATGGATGACCAGGTTTCTTGTTTGGGAAGGGGCCTCTGGACAAATCATCTGAGGTACTGGTTGTAGTCAGCCCACGGCAGAGCCTTGGAAGCACCCAGGACTCAGGGAAGCCCAGTCTCAGGGCAATGAGATTTAAGGCATCCTTGGTTCTTAGAATTTGCCTGTTAGCAATGGTTGAGGAACTCGAGTGTTATATAGGGAAAGAGTTGGCTGGGAATCATTTGTGGGAAAAAAACGCTAATAGTGCAAACAGTAATAGGGACCTCACTCCCTCTTGCTTTCTCTGTCTCTCGTAGTCTCTCTGTATCTCTCTCTCCCTGTATGTGTCTCTCCGTCTCTGTCTCTTTCTATCTGTCTCTATCTTTCAGTCCTTCTCTCTCACACAAACACTTGTATTGTTTTCTACTTGAGAATATCATTGTTAACTTTCAGAATTGACTGGTTATCTCTTTGGGCAACATCTTATCCCCAAGTCAGGACCTTAAGCAACTCAAGGCAAGAAATCTTAAAACAATGGTTGTATTTTTTTTTTTTCCGAAGCTAGGAAAAACATGTTTGTAAGAGAGATAAAAGGGTTAAAAAGTCCCAGATAACTCTGATAGTGTTTGGCCTTTGCAGAACTCAGCCCTGGTGGCCATGACGGTACCTGTAGTTACAAGGGGGAGGCTCCAGGGGACAAAGGATGGAAAGGTGTGCGGACTTCCCCTCTCCTCTTCCGCTCACAGTGCTTCCTTGGGCCACCAGGGGGCAGAGTTTGCTTGCCCTGGAGCCCTGAGTCTCAAACCCACCAGGTTCTGAGCTGTAGCTCTTTGCAGAACTCTGGAGAATGTTATTTCTTTAATCCCACCATTCAAAGCAGAAAATATGACCACGTAAGTTTCAAAACACAACCATTTGCTCATGTGTACCCACAAAAACAAGGCTGCCTGACTAAGCCAAAAAGCTAACAGGGATTTCCTGTTAACATTTGTTTGCCTGTGTGTCCTTGGTGTGCCCTTAAGAGCGGTAAGGTTGCCAGAGGGAAGTTCAGTGGAAAATAATGGAAGAACTGCTCTTCACTAACTTTATATATTCTTTGTCTTTGGAAAAAGACTATTATCATTTGGTTTCACCACTATTTCTTTTTTTTTTTTTTTTAACATGACACACCATTGACCTAACCTAGGCTTCTCAGAGTACCTCTCCCACCTTCCTCCTGTCCCCTGCCCTCCCCTCCCCCCCCCCTCCCTTCCCTGTGTGCCTGGGAAGCAACCTGCTTTCCCTTTCCTTCTAACTTCACCCTGCTGGGCTGATGCTACCGTGGTACCAGGGGGTAGGAGCCGCCCTGTGCCGTAAGGTGCTCCGTTTCTGCTGTTAATGTCCATGATTCCTTCCTCACTGACAGTTTTCTTTTTGTCTCTTTCTCTTCCTCCTTTATCCACCCCACTCCCCTAACTCATTTCTGACCCTAACCCCGCTCCCTTGTGTGTGCGCAACCCCTCTGCCGTCCGCTGATGGACACCCACTCACTGCTGGGCTTTCTTCTGCTTGGCAGGGCATCGCCGCTGGCGTAAGTAGACTCCACACTGTCTGTTCCGCGTCGTGGTCGTCTGTCTGGTTGAGGGATGGTGTGTGGGTTTGGTGGGATACGTCTGAGGACAGCGGTTCTGTCCATGTTCCTCCTCACACCCACCTCACAGCCAAACGACATGCTCAGGAGACTATACAGGCAAGTGCTTTTGGGCTTTGCCTCCAAGAACGCCTCTATGAACATGGAAATCAGAGCAGTGACATCACACTGCCTCCCCTGCACCCAAGGCTGGGAGTGGATCTCTGGGCTATGCTTTGCAGCAGTTCCTGTCTGCTCTGGGACAGCAGAGACCTGAATGTCAGAATCCATGCGGGGCCATTATTCAGGGAAGGGGTGATGAGGGGGCCTCTTGGAGGCCATTCCCTAGGATCCTCATGGATCTGAAGGAGCCAGCACCTGTCAGTATCATCCATGAGAGGCCAAAGATGAGTCAGACTTGAGGGCAGTGGACAGTGGGTAAGTGTCTAGAGGTGACCTTGATGTTGTGGTAACTGTGGCATGTATTTGGTGGCAAGAAGACCATTACTGGGAGTGGCTCCAGAGTCGCCTCAGACCCAGGGTCCCAGGACTATAGGACCTGTTCCATCCTTTCTCTGTACATATTCTCCTGGAGTCCTGGAGTCTCAAAAGGAACAGGAATTCCTTCATCTGACTCCCAGGGGCTGTCGCGGCAACAACACAAATCGCCGGTCTTTGCACAGCACTGTGGAAAGTGGAGCTAGCAATGTGAATCCCAAGGGACTCACCCCTGGGAACTTTTTGAGCCCCTGGAGCTGTGGAAGGAACAGGGGAGTGTCTCAAGGGCACATTCCAGGGAAATGGTAGCAAACACCTTCCATCCACTTTCTGGACCGAACAGCTATGTGTAGGCAGATTCAAGGGCAGGGCCTGGCCTTGGGTCTACATCTTTCCTCTTCCGCAGCGCAATCCACACTTCCTCCTTCCCTTCTAGCAGATCAGGGAGTCCTGCTTCTTCTTTCCTACTGTACCTCTCACTCGAAGGCAGCAGACCTGCTTCTGCTCCTCCCTATGCCAGAAATGGCCTCTTGCATGAGACCCCACTCTCTCCTCTGCTTTCTGGGAAGCTCCAGCCTCCCTGCTGCTGGACCCTGGAGGGATCTGCTGGTCTCCCCCATCTGATCTGAGGTGGACAGTAGCTGGAGCTCCCGGGGGGCAGGGCAGACCCTTCAGGGAAGTAGGGGCAGCTCCATGCAGTCTTGGTCACCTTTTGTCACCTTTCTCCACCTCTGCTCTTAGAACCTACTCTGAGCCAGACACTGAGGACCAATCTTGAGGGACTCCCAGTCTTGGGAAAGTAGGCCAGTGCTTCCTTCCAGCTCCATGCAGAGAGGCTAGAAGATGTGGGCACTGGGGAGGTCCCTCTCCCAGCCATCTGGCCCTTTGGAGGGCAGGTAGAGGTGGCCATAGCAGCAGGCAAGGGGAGACTTCAGAGAGTGAGTGCCTGGGCTAGGCCATGTCTCCAGGTGTGGAGCATCTGGGGTGAGCAAGGCCCCAGTGGGCAGAAGTTGCCTCTCTCAGCCATTTTTGCTGAAGATAATTTGATGGAAAGGACTGTAGGATGGGACCCAGGAAGCTTGGGCTCTGACCCAACAGGGCCCCTACATGCTGTCACCTGGAGCTAGCCTCTCTGGACCTCAGTTTCAGTATCTATAAGAAGAGAGGCCTGGGCCACACTGGTCCATAGGCTGGGGAGTCAGGCCGTCACTGCTGTGACCTTGACTCAAGTCCACCCTAATTCCTTAGAGTGTGGGTTGGACAGTCAGGATCCTCCAGCTCTCACTAGCCAGGGTAAGAGGGCACCTGTAAGATGCCCTGCAGTCTGATTCAGGTTGGGAGGTCCTGGACCCAAGAGATTCTGGGGTCCCTTCTGGCTCTGACCTGGGATTCATTCAGCTAAGTAAGTTTTGAGCACCTGCCATGTGCCTAAGGGAGTCTAAGGGAAGGTCACCAGTTCCTCCTCCGAGGGCCGTGCTGCTCTGGAGCAGAGGACTGGTGACCTTCCCTGCAGCTTTTCTCCTAGCCCCCCCAGGCCAGAACGCCCCTCCCCATCTGCAGGCAATGCCAGCCCATCAGACTTGTTGCCTTGTTTCTCATGCCACCTCCCCACCACGCCTGCCCGTGTTTGCTGAACGGGAGGCCCCCACTCTTATTCTGGGTCAGGCCTGGCACTGGTGGCTCCCTGTTTGGATCCAACAGTATATGGGGGACAAAGGACTGACCCTGAAGAAGCCTCTGAGTCCCCCAGAAGGCCCGTTGTCACCCAGCCCCAAACTCAGGAATTGTTCAGAGAGGTTGAAATTACTTCAAGAGACCTATTCTGTTTCTTCTTCCCTTAAAAGAGATCCAGCCCTCCCCCCTGGGGTAGGGGGCAGCCGCTATGGGAGTGGGTTTTCAGGTCTGTGTGTGGAGTCAGCCCAGGGTGGGGTGTGGGCGTGGCCGGAGGGATCCAAGAGGAATTGCTGTAGCCTCTCTGAGCACTGAGGACCCAGGCCAAGCCCTTGTCGCAGGCTTTCGGATGGCAGTGGGTAGAGGGCACAGCGGGTTGAGAAAAGCAGGGATCACCAACTGGTGTGTAGGGTGTAAGGGTGCGAGTGGATGAGCTGCGGGGGGAGTGCAGGAGGACAGGAGCAGGCCGCCAGCCTTGCCCTCACTCACGCTTCTCTCTGACCTGCAGGAGCCTTCCTATTAAAGACCTTGCCGTGGACAGCGCCTCCCCCGTGTACCAGGCTGTGATTAAGAACCAGAACAAGCCGGAAGACGAGGCTGAGGAGTGGGCCCGACGCTCCTCCAACCTGCAGTCTCGCTCTTTCCGCATCTTGGCCCAGATGACTGGGACAGAATACAGTAAGTGGGGGTGGGGGAGGGGGCGCTGGCAGGGGAGATGCAGAGGGGCCCACGGCAGCCAGGCTGTCAAACCCCTGCCCTTGAAGATGAGCTGGTCTTGTCAGATAACTAGTGGCCTGCTGACCGCTCTGGGCCCCTTGGGGCAGGCTGCTGAATGACATGGGTCCTCTGCCCAGGTCTCTAACTGCAGTGGGGGCAGCCACATGCCATGTGACGACCCAGAGCTGGGATAAGAGGACCTCAAAAGCCACACTTTCGACTACTTCCTCCCAATGGCACCATTTCCTCTGGTCTCCCCCTGCCCTCTGCCCAGCACACAGTCTCCCCCTGCCAAGGTTTCCAGGCTGGGGGCAATCACTGTTCAGTCTTTGGTGGGGACTCCTATGTTTCCTGTGATTCCTCCTAATGCAACACTTTTCTACCCACAGTGCAAGACCCTGATGAAGAAGCTTTACGACGGTCAAGGTAAGTGCCCGGACTCAGGTTCTGTGGCCTTGTCCCTCCTAACTCAACCCCTCCCCAGGCAGCTCCCAGGTCATATGACTCATGGAAGGAACCTCTCAAGTTTATGTATTTGGAAGCTCCTGGCCCCTGCAGGGCTCCAGCAGACGCTGGCTTGGGGCCTTCGTCCCAGGTCACTGAGCTGGGAGCCTGGAGCGGAGTCTCAATCCCCTGGGCCCAGGCTGCAGGAATAAGGATTCTGGGCTCTCCTGGCTCTGTCCCTGGGCAGGGGGCAGGGCTGCTTTGGCCTTTGCTGGGCTGTTGAGAATGAGGGCATCTCTCCCTGTGAGGGCACCGGGCTAGCGGCCTTGCCTGTGTGCTCAGCTCAGGGCCCGTCCCCTGTGAGTCTGGAGGCTGGGCACAGGGAAGCAGGCATGTGGAGGGCTGTGCTGGGCACGGGTACCTCACCTTAGGATTCACCTGTCCATACCTACACTGAGGTATTAGTTCCATTGATTGCTCAAAGCACAGTGGCTGCTGCTAGGCTGAGTGTCTCGGGGTATGTTCCCCTGATGGTGGCAGGCCTGGGGCCATAGCCACTAACCTACCACCTGCATCCAGGTGCTCACAGGCCCGGGTATGAGGGGGGCACACTGCCCTGAAACCCACTGGAACCTGCTAGGATCTTCCGTGGTGAGGCCTGGGCCCCGTATGATTGTGTTTGTACTTCCGGTGGCAAATGTGCGTGCTCTTCCTGGGAGAGTCTGCCTCGGGGTGCGTTCTGTGGTGGCCTCCCTGTAAGGCGCTGGGGCTCAGAGGGGTTCTGGTACGTGGGTCCAGGATTTCTGTACTTGGCTAACTGGCATGTAGTGATCCCAGGATTGCATGGACAGTGGGGCTCTGGGGTCAGCTCTGAGTTGACGGGGCTTTTATTTTCCAACCTCTATTTATGCCAGTCCAAACTGCTCCCACTTTTTGGCTAGGGCATCCAAGGGAAAGCGTGGTCCTCCCAGGCCTGCTTAAGATGGCCTGTAGTTCCAGTCACCCTTGTTAACCCTTTAGTGCCCACACGGTGTCTACATAAAGCCCCAATGGGAAGAAATGAGATTTCGCTCAATAGAGAGTACCTAGCTACTTGAAGTGTGACCGAGCTGTCAACCGTCCCCACTCCCAGGCTCCATGGCACTCTGTTGTTTTTTTCCACCTCCTCTTTGAAGCCACCCATATGGATGCTTTGATGAGGAGTGTAGTTCCCCAACAGAAGGGCTTACTGCCCACCAACAGCACCCCCCCCCAACCCTCAGCAAATAGCCTTCCGTCAGGGAGCCTGCAGTGTGTTTTCTCTCCCTCGTGTGAGATAGAGCCCTGCCCTTGGAGTGAGTACTTCTGAGGACGTTTCGTTCTCCTGGCCGGGCACTCTGAGCTTGCACCTCATTAACCAGACACAGTCTAGAAGGCAGAACCTCCGTCTCTCATATTTCCCCGGGAATATGCAGGCTCTGCAAAGTTCTTGAGTGAGGACACCAAAGCTCGAAAGAAGGGGTGTGTCCGGGCCTCATTGGTCATTCCCTCCTTTCAGAAGCATCTTCCGGGGCCTGTTCTGCCTAGGCCTGGAGATATGTGGGCAGATCAGTCCTTCCCCCTGGGGCCTAATCCCACAGGAGCCTGGCTCAGCCCCCAGAAGAAGGCTGCTGCATGTCTTAGAGCCTCTTTCCAGCTATTGCAGGGTTTTCTGTAGGGAAATCTGGAAAGAGAGCCCAAATAGAGGCTCCATCCTGCTTCCCCCTCAGGTCTGGGCACACACACACACACACACACACACCCCAGAGAAAAAATAGCTTCCCCCACAGAGACCCATTGGGGTCTCTGGCTGGGCTGTGAAGCCTCAGGAACAGCCACTAAACCTTCTACCCAGGACTGGAGGGGCAGAAGCCTCCTGCTCCACTCCCTTTTCCTGACTTTAATCTCTGGGAAGTGGTCCTCAGAGCCTTCCACAAAATGTGCATTCTCTCCATGGTCGGTGGAGGTGGGTGTGCGATCTCATCTCACTGAATCATAAGCAACCAGAGGCCCCAGGAGTAAGGCTCGTGCTGGGTGCAGTGCTCCCATCCTGTTTGTGATTAAGGTCTGCCACCACTTCCAAGTAGCGGACTCCAGCCGAGCCTGAGTTTGCCGACCCTGGGGCCTGGGCAACAGCCTGTACAGGCTTGTACATGTGCAGAGGGGCTTTCTTCTTCTTACTGCTGGGGGGGACGTGGGGGCGGCAGGTACAGGCAGGAAGGAATGCTGTGAGCGGAGGCTCTGTATCAGGTGCGGTGGCCCTGCTGGCCTCAATAGCAGGGGGCAGTCTGCCTGTCACAGGACCCGGCATCCTCTCCCCTCACAGAGTGTCTCTGCTCCACTTCCCAGGCCTTCCCTGCTCCCCACCCCAACCCTGCAATAGTCCTATAGTAGTGCATAGCTCTGCCCTCCTCCTCTGCTCTCCTCTCCTCAGGGTCCTGGCTCTTGACACTGAAGGTGTCCCCCGCAGCTGGTAGCAGCAGGTGGCTTCCATCACAGGTTCCCGAGCCCACCTGCTGGCCAGCCCAAGGCAGAGCCTAATCTCCAGGGACCCTCTCCTTCCAGGCAAGGCAGGGTGGGCCCCTAAATAACCCAGGCATCTGCTGTGGACTTGGCCCCCTCCTAGGAACAACCCCAGCACCTTAGCAAACTCTCCAGGCAGACTGAAATAGCAGCTCTTGCCAGCTCCTATGGGGGTGCAGGGAGTACTGGTGCTCCTGGCCTCCGTCTGAAGTAGCAGAGCACAAACCGGGCCTCCCTCCAAGAGCTGAGCCTCTAATCTCAGCGAGGTCACCACAACTTCTGTCGGACTTGGGGCAAGCACTCCGGGGGGTCTGATGGCTCAGGTCAGGTCCACGTGGGGCTGCACTGATGAGGGTGGACATGGAGGCGAGCCTAGTTTGTCCGAGGCAGGGTTCGAATCTACGAGGCATCAGGTTCCCACTGCTTGGGCGTGACCATCCCAGAGGACCCCAGTGTGTAACCCAGACATCCTCTGCCCCCCACCTTGTAGCTCAACCGTCTCATAAGTGCGATTTCTGCCTTTACACAATGCTCACCTGTGTGAAGAACTCAGCCCCTCTCTTAGACCCCAAGGGTTAAGGAAGAAAGTTGATTTGAGTGACAAGTTCACAGAGGAGTCGGAGGGGAGGGGGGCCTTTGCACCCTCCTCCACAAACAGCATAAAAACTCTTCTAAGTCCCTACTCCACGGTGCCCGCCCACCCAAGGTTCTTTTTCCTTTCCTTCCCATACTTCCAGCGGAGCTCAGGCACCCACCAGTTCCTCCCTCCTCCCCACTGTGGCCTCCCTGGGCAAGCACCCCAGGGTCCTCTTCCCTCCCTCCCTGTGCACAGTCAGCTCTGTCCCAGCTCCTGTGGCTGACTCCCCTGGGGCCAGCCCAGCTCAGAGCCCTCCCCCAAAGGGAAACTTCACACAGATAGCAAAAGTCATCTGCACTTTGTGGATTTTTTATTCTTGGTGGTCTGCCAGCCTAGCAAGTCTGAAAACCACACTGGAGAAACCAGCACCCTCCCTGGGTATCCCTGAGAAACCCCCATGGGTGTCCTAGGACTTCTCATCCTTTCTCTCCTTCCGGCTCTCCCCTCTCTCTGCCCCCTCTCTTCTTTCCTCTCCTGGATCCTCTCTTGGGCAGGCTGTGAATTTACCAACAACTGCAAGCAGAGCAGGCTTGCTAGAGTCACCGACTCTCGGGGACTATCTCCGAGCCTGTCACTGAGCACTGATGACAATGGCCGTGAACCTGGCCGGACAGACTGGCCATGTCTCTGTCCTAGGTGGTCTCTATGGGATGGTCGATTGTTGCCACACATCCTGCTGCCAGCAGGGCCCCTGCTTCTGCTGCCTTCCTTCTTTCTCCCCAACCTCGGAGAGGTCCTAGTTAGCTCACAGCTCTGCTGCTGACTTTCCACGTGGTTTTAGGCCATTCACGTGATGTCTCTGGGCCTTCGCTTCCTGTTGGTATCAGGAAAGTTTGGTCTGGAATAGTGGTTTTCCAGTACATTGGCAGTCGAACAGAATCTTCCGCAGAGACACAGCATGCAGGACTCCACGTGTAGAGGGGGAGTCTGTAATGCAGACGTGGGTGGTAAAAAATGTATATGTGGGGATGCGGGATGGCTAGAGAAATGTAAGACCAGCACTGCCCCATCTCTGATTTTCAGAGACCTAACACGGATCTTCCTGACCTTTGTACGCTGGCAATTCATTTATTAAACTACTTATTTTGAGATCATTGCAGATTGGCATGCAGTTGTAAGAAATAATATGGAGAGGTCCTCTACACCCTTTATCCTCCATGGTAACACCTTGCAAAACTACAGTACAAAATCACAACAAGCCTGTGGGCACTGGGATAGCCAAACACAGAGTATTTCCATCACCCCAAGGCTTCTCCCCCTGTTGCCCGTGTATCACTACACCCACCTCCCTACCGCGCACACCGTCTCCCTGACCTGTGGCAACCACCGATCTGTTAACTGTTCTCCACTTCTTTAGTTTTATCATTTCAAATCTGTTGTGTATATGGAATCATACAGTCCGTGACCTTGTGGGATTGGCTTTTCTCTGTCAGCCTGATTCCCTGGGGATTTAGCCAAGCTAGAGAGTGTACCAATGATTCGTTCATCTCTCTTTATTACTGAATAGTATTCCATGGTCTGGATGTAGCAATTAATTTTTAAAAGGAGTTTTAAACACGGTCCAGGTTAAAAATACCATGTTTGTGGCTGGATGTGGGCCTCTGGGCCACCAATGTGCACCTCTGGTCTGAAGGCCATTAGCGGTCCCTCCAGCCTGGAAGGTCTAGGGTTCTGGCATCTGTGGCACTTGCATTTCCCCAGGCACACCCTCTCCTCTGTGTTTGCGTTTCTGGCTGCGCCTTGCCTATTTTGTGCGGCGCCCTTGGATGAGCAGGCTGTGGGGGGACCTGCGGAGGCTCCGTGG